TCAGTTGGTTGCACATGTAACTGGTAAATCAGTTGGTTGCATATGTTACTGGTAAATCAGTTGGTTGTACATGTAATAACTGGTAAATCAGTTGGTTGTACATGTAACTGGTAAATCACTTGGTTGCACATGTAACTGGTAAATCAGTTGGTTGCACATGTTACTAGTAAATCAGTTGGTTGTACATGTAATAACTGGTAAATCAGTTGATTGTACATGTAACTGGTAAATCAGTTGGTTGCACATGTAACTGGTAAATCAGTTGGTTGCACATGTAACTGGTAAATCAGTTGGTTGCATATGTTACTGGTAAATCAGTTGGTTGTACATGTAATAACTGGTAAATCAGTTGGTTGTACATGTAACTGGTAAATCAGTTGGTTGCACATGTTACTAGTAAATCAGTTGGTTGCACATGTTACTAGTAAATCAGTTGGTTGTACATGTAATAACTGGTAAATCAGTTGGTTGTACATGTAACTGGTAAATTAGTTGGTTGTACATGTAACTGGTAAATCAGTTGGTTGTACATGTAATAACTGGTAAATCAGTTGGTTGTACATGTAACTGATAAATCAGTTGGTTGTACATGTAACTGGTAAATCAGTTGGTTGTACATGTAACTGGTAAATCAGTTGGTTGCACATGTTACTGGTAGATCAGTTGGTTGTACATGTAACTGGTAAACCAGTTGGTTGTACATGTAACTGTTAAATCAGTTGGTTGTACATGTAATAACTGGTAAATCAGTTGGTTGTACATGTAATAACTGGTAAATCAGTTGGTTGCACATGTTACTGGTAAATCAGTTGGTTGTACATGTAACTGGTAAATCAGTTGGTTGTACATGTAACTGGTAAGTCAGTTGGTTGTACATGTAATAACTGGTAAATCAGTTGGTTGTACATGTAACTGGTAAATCAGTTGGTTGTACATGTAACTGGTAAATCAGTTGGTTGTACATGTAACTGGTAAATCAGTTGGTTGCACATGTAACTGGTAAATCAGTTGGTTGCACATGTTACTGGTAAATCAGTTGGTTGTACATGTAACTGGTAAATCAGTTGGTTGTACATGTAACTGGTAAATCAGTTGGTTGTAGATGTAACTGGTAAATCAGTTGGTTGTAGATGTAACTGGTAAATCAGTTGGTTGCACATGTAACTGGTAAATCAGTTGGTTGCACATGTAACTGGTAAATCAGTTGGTTGTACATGTAACTGGTAAATCAGTTGGTTGTGCATGTAACTGGTAAATCAGTTGGTTGTACATGTAATAACTGGTAAATCAGTTGGTTGTACATGTAATAACTGGTAAATCAGTTGGTTGGACATGTAACTGGTAAATCAGTTGGTTGTACATGTAACTGGTAAACCAGTTGGTTGTACATGTAACTGGTAAACCAGTTGGTTGTACATGTAACTGGTAAATCAGTTGGTTGTACATGTAACTGGTAAATCAGTTGGTTGTACATGTAACTGGTAAATCAGTTGGTGGTTATACATGTAACTGGTAAATCAGTAGGTGGTTGTACATGTAACTGGTAAATCAGTTGGTTGTGCATGTAATAACTGGTAAATCAGTTGGTTGTGCATGTAATAACTGGTAAATCAGTTGGTTGCACATGTTACTGGTAAATCAGTTGGTTTACATGTTACTGGTAAACCAGTTGGTTGTACATGTAA